AGAGAATTCGTTAATTAATGCCATTATCCAAATATATCCCGTTTACTAAAAATTGATCTTCTTTTCTTAGGTGCAGTTGGTGTTTTTCTCTTGTTGCCCGATTTTACGGATGAAGCTTTAGATTTCTTTGGGTTGGACGAGTGATGTGATTCGTGCAACACCTTACACTCTTTTGACGTTGCACCTAGTAAAGCTTTTCGTTTTCTAGAACCTAATCCAGCTCCTGCTTGGGGTTTAAGAATAGATTTTCCAAACTTTGTAGCCATTTTAATAGCATTGGATTTTAGGGCTGTTTTAATTGATTGACCATTTGTAATATCAGATACTGTACTCATAATTGCAGGCGCTGCATGAGGTAGAATATATTTGGTACTGAGCGGTAATCCATATCGACCGATAAATCCCAGAATACTTCCTAGACCACCTGCTTTCTGTCTATAACCTCTAAACACGGGTATGCCTTTACCAATTTGATTCTCTAACACGCGGTGATAGTGTTCGTGGTGAAAAACATGAACATGCTTCATTTTTTAGACTATTAGTAGTGCCCTGGAAAAAGGATAAAAACTGTATGAAGCTTCGTACGCTAAGCAGTTGAATAATGGAACTTATCAAGAAAAGTCTTTACTTATAAACGAAAAATCATGTCATTTTACCTACACCTACCTTCTAATGTTAGCCCACGGTACTATCCTAATAACAGGATGTCGTTATATGAAACTAAACTACCAAAACGTTTGAATTTTATATCTAACGAATATGAAGTAGCTATTACAGAGTTTACTTACGTAAATTCTTTGAAAACGTTTCAGCAAGATGACGCAAGAAAAATACTATTTCCAAATGATCCAGAAAACAATATTGGTCATCGCATGGTTAAAAATAAACAATACCAAGATGTACAGTCACTTGTTGAAGAAATCAATCTCTGCTTAGTACTTAATGACGAAGTTTATGCAAGTTTTGCATATAACCCTGAAACAAATAGAGTACATTTTTTAAAGGGTTGTGGAACATTCTATATAAATGTGTGTTTAGCTAACATGTTGGGGTTTGACTTATATACCCTTGACGATACGTGTCGATTTGACGTTAGTAGGATAGCAACGAACACCCCAAACCTATCTAGGGGAATATATCATATTTTTATATATAGTGATATAATTAAAAGACAAATTGTAGGAGACTGTCTTTGTCCCCTACTAAGAATGGTTAATGTAAGTTCAAAGAAAAATGAAGCCGTGACTCACGAATTTCGTCCTTATTATTTACCACTAAGTCAACTTGAATTTGACACAATTGAAATTCTTCTATGTGACGAATTTGGCGATGAACTTCAGTTTGAAAAAGGACAGTGCATAGTAACGTTGCATTTTCGAAAACAGCAGAATGGAAATTGAAGGTCATTCTCTAAAGCTTTTACATCCCTTCTCGTTAATTATTTCCGAGTTTCTCAATCAGGAAAGTCAGAGTTTGTTAAAAAATTACTGACTCATGATGCACAATTAATTGAGCCTTGCCCAAGCCGGATAATTGTTTCTTACACAGAAAATCAACCTGCTTATGATGATATGGCTAAACATAATATTCGGATTGAATTTAGACAAGGATTGGATTTTGATATGTCCGAATTTAGTAACAAACACCCAACTTTGCTAATAATTGATGATCAAATGAAGGATGTGCTGACGAATGAAAAAATTCAAACGTTATTCACAAGAGGAATTCATCACAATTCAGTATCAGTAATTCTATTCTAATCTAACACAAAATCTATATCCTCAAGGAAAATTCGGACGCGATATACGACTAAATTGTCATTATATGGTAATTATGAGGTCTCCTACGTTCGCATCTCAAATACAATATTTAGGTAAACAGCTTTTTCCACATAATACGAATTTTCTATCTGATGCCTATAAAAGAGCAACTGAGCAACCATACTCGTACTTATTCCTCAATTCACACCCTTTGTGTAACGACAGAACCAGAGTGCTCCAGGGAATTTTTTCAGACAAGCCAAAATACGTGTACATACCAAAATGAAGTACGTTATTGAATTTGAAGGATTTTTACTTCGAAGAGGATTTGTGTTTAAAGAAATAACAATTTGTAATATTAAGTGTACGGAAGACCCCACTTATTTTCAGAAACATTTCTTTATTAAACCCCCCTGTCATTTCAACTCTCTTACTGTACATGAAAAGCGTATAGTGAAGTATTATGCAAATAAACTTCATAAAATTTACTGGTTTGCTGGGCGGGACAAGTTTAATAGTGTTCTGGCGTATTTGTCTACTTTAAATGATGCTGCAGTATACACTAAAGGACTACAAAAGGCAAACGTTTTGAAGAATTTGGGATTTAACTGGACTGTTATTAACACAGAGGATTTATTGGTGGAAAATACAGAGGACTGTTCTGAAAATCTGCCTATACAAGATTCTATTGAATGTCCGCTCTCATTCCATATTGACAACGCGCAATGCTCACATGCTAAAGCATTAAAAATTCTCAACGATTTATCAAGCTACATGAGAAATGAGTCACTGCCTAAATCGGAACCTCTCGTTTCTGAAGAAACTTGTGACATGCAGGGGGTTGAAGAGGAAGAAGATCATTCAGGAAGCATCCCCGGACGAGATACGAGCACTAAGTGAAATTGCTGTAAATATATTAGAAGGTCGTTTTCAAGTAGACGAGGAAACAAGAAAGAAATTACACAAACACAAAGATCAAATCAGGGAATTATCAAAAAAGTCAAAATCACATAAAAGCAAGAAGGAACATTTAGTACAGAAAGGAGGTTTTCTTCCATTCTTAATAACACCCGTGCTTTCAGCTCTTGGTGCAATAGCAGGACGAGCGATTAGTTCACACTTAGGGTTTTAAAAACTAAATATTAAAATGTCGAAAAAAATGAGAGTTGTTAGTGAAGACGAGTATTCCCAGCTTCTAAAAAAGACCAACACAATGGAGCATGCTAAAACTCACTTTTTTACGGACAAGGATCAGGAAGCTACATCAGTTTTGGGATCCTTAATTCCGGAGGATATTAAAGTCCAATTGTACAGTAGTTTAATGAAACGTGTAAATAATCAGTTGAAAGACATTTTAGATAAATCTATTTCCGTTAGAATGGTTTCTGGTGAAGATAAATCATCCATAGGAGAAAGTAATACTATCTCCACTAATGAAACTCCTCCACCTGTAACTCCTTCTAGCACAGAGTCTACTCCAGTTGGTTCCCCTGAAAAATTCACGTTATCTGAATCAGATATAAAAATGCTGAAAGAATTTCCTACCACTCAAATGAATAAAGCTCACAATTTGCTCGGGTTTTTAAAGTGTCATCCTGAAATGATAAAATGGGATAAATCAGGACGAGTAACTTTCTGGGGAAGTGAGTTTGAACCTGACTCTAACATTTCGGATTTAATGAGTTACTCCATTAGAGATTTGAAATGGACCACATCCCCAAACGGAATCAACAGATTCCTGAGAGTGTGTAAAATGTTAAATGTCCCTGCCGCTCTATTTTCAACTGTAGTGAGAAATGATCTTATGGGTACCTTAGATTCTATTCCTCTAAAACAAACAGCTACGCTCAGTGCTCATAAGCTGTCGAGCTTCAGTGCATGGGAACCGTTAAACCAAAATGATGCTCTGAATAAAACCTTTGACCCATATCGTATTCCAACGGGAATTCCCCAAAGACCTCGCAACACTAAGGACGTTACATCAAGACAGAAGACTTCATATGGTTTCCCACATGATAGAATGGCTTTTGACTGAGGTATTCGTTTTTGAATAACAACAACAACAAAAAAATTCCTTCTTAACTTTGAGGTCTGGTTTGTGTAAAAAATTGTTTTAATAATTTAATAAACTATGCTAAAGTAGTACGACATATTAGTGATATGTTCATTGTAGTGTCAGAGCTCATGCGATTCAGTTCTAATCAGGTAAGGTTTTCCGTATTTATTTTAAATACTAAACATGGTTCTCCAAGATGAAACTTTTCCAACTCTGGTCTATAAACCATACGATATTGATAACAAAGATATGTGTCTAAATAGTGATCGTTTAGCAACATTCAAAAACTGGACCGGAAAATGTAAGCAAAATCCCAAAAATTTTAGTGAAGCAGGATTTTACTCTACTGGATATGGAGATCGGCTTTCTTGTTATTATTGTGGAATAATAATCCATAATTGGCTGCCAAGTGATGATCCCTGGATTGAACACTCTATTCATTCAAGTGACTGTCCATTCCTCTCTTTGCACAAACCTAAATTGCAGACTATTTTATCGAAGGATTTAGACCAAAGTTATACTTACCAAAAATATAATGTAATTTTGTAATGCTTTTATATATTTTCAGTTTTATCAAGATAATTATTTTATTGTTTTATTATTTTTTTATTACAGAGTCTATGCAAACAAATAAATTCGTCAAAGGATGAGAATGATGAAAATCAAGAAAATGCTACTCTTACACTCCTTCATAGCCTGATGGAAACATTTCTGTGTTCGGTGTGTAAACTCGAAGAAGCTAATTACATGTTCACTCCATGTTGTCACATTTGCTCCTGCTTTCCATGCTCTACTACCCAAGACCTATGTCCTATTTGTAGATGCCAAATTAAGGGAATAACAAAAGTTTTCAAACCTTAAACTGTACATATTTTATTTATTATTTATATATTTGTAATTGTAATCATTTTATTGTTATGTTTAAACTGTACAATAATTCACTAAATAAATAATTGGTACTTGTTAATTTTAAATATTTTACTTGTTGTACGTAGGAATCAAAAAATGATTGTGAGCAAGTGTACTAATTCCATTGGGTAAAATAAAACGTTTCGAATCAAAACTATGCAAAGCTACTTTTGTATAATTTGCAGTTGTTAGTTTATGATTCTTTGAACGAATCAAATTCATTCTGCACATATATTTTCTTTGCTCAAACAAAGTCTCGATAAAAGCTTTATGAGTTACATGTTTTCGTACTAAAGATTGTTTGACTCCTTTCATAGCAATCTTATGGATATTCTTGCCTGCAAAGGAATACATTTTTGGAGAAACACCCACAAAACTATACATGATTTTTCCGTTACTCTCGTCCTTCATTTTACCAATCACTTTTTTATTTTCTGTAGAATAAAGTGGATGAGTGTGGTCAAAATCACTAAAGTCAAAATCATTTTTCACCAGTCTTAAATCAGCATAAAGATCAGCGGTTTTAATTTGATAGGCTAAGCTGTCCGTATCTGTAAAAAGGAACCTGGCTTTAATTCCATACCATTTTTTGATCGTGTCATAATGCCAAACCTGCATAAACAACTTGCTGAGATCTAAAACCGAAAACGCTGTATATATTGGCTTATCCAATACAATACTAGGTTTACTCATGAAAACAAGTACCAAGTTTGGAGAAAGAATCTCAAATTTTCTGAAGTTCGAAAGCCTGGAATAATATTTTGCTGTTTCAATACTATTAACTATATATACATTTTGCTGATTCCTAACATTCATCATGCTACGTCCAAAAATTGCGTTAACTATTAGCTTGAAGTTCTAGCTTAACTTTTGTGCTCAGAAGAGCAGCATCCCAGCTGAAGCCTGGGAGACTAAAATAGTGACAAGGGTCAAGCTTAAAGTTAGAAATTGCCATATCCCTGTAGCTTTCAAAAACGCATGCCAACAGAAGTACATCTGTTGTTAAATATATGTCGTGGTACGAACCCAGGTCAGTGCATTCGGTTTCAAACACTGACTTACCAAAATCATAATCCTCTTGTGAAATCCCTTCACAAGTGAGGGTGTTATAAAACTCTGAAATATCGGGAAATTTGGTTTCCTTAAATTTATCCCAAGAACTGAAATAAGAATATGGATAGACACCTTTCCTTGAGAGTTTTACTGCCCGTTCTTTTGAAAAATGTTGTATCATTATACCAAACTTGTCATCAAAGCCTTCGGGTTTTGCATGAAGGTTTGTTACAAGAGTATCTAAAGATTTGGGCAGATGCATGAAAGAATCTATGAACATGAACTTATCACAAATAATGCCTATAAATTTTTCAGAGTTTTGAGGGATAACGAACGTATTCCCAGAACCAAATTTCGTTGCTGAACTTAACAGCAGGTGAGAGTCATAATTTCTAAAATTATGCATAAGTACAGGGATTTTGACTTTTTGAATATACGAAGAATTACATTCTCTATGAGCAGCTCCTCTAAATAATCCAGTATTGTGATCATGATCTCGAACTTTTATAGATTGGTGATCAAAATCATGCTCACAAATGTGGCAGGAATCTGCCATAGAAAAATCATATTCTTCCTCTAGAGAAAGTTGTTTCATAGCGATATGGATTTTGTTCCTTTGTATGCAAAAGCTAGCTTGTAGATTCACTTCATCTATAAATTTGTCAATGCTATTTGGACCACGATATTTCGATGTATGAACCAGTTTCTTATTTGGGCCAGTTACTGCAAGATTATATCCTGAAATTTCGTGTTTATCTATTGAGGTCGTACTGGTATTATAGTCTGTGAGTATTGCTTCAAAATCTCCATACATCACAAAGTTACACTTTAGTTTATTACTAAGTTTTTTACTCTCAAAAGAGCAGAATGGAATTTTTCCATCAACGACTGAAGGAACAGAAACCTTTTGAGTTTTAAACTCAAAACCCAAGAATGTTTACGATTTTATGCGTTCTGCTATTTGCATGAGGTGTTAGGCGTAAAACGTTAAGCTGCTCTTCTTGATCAATACCAAACACATTAATACCAATTTTAATATGTTTGTGCCGCTTTTCGAATGCTATGATATCTTTCAACGATGTTGGAAACTTTAACGAAGAGAAATCGTAGTGAGTTTTAAATTTTTCATATTGAGATATTCTTCCACGATGCCTGTTATCTACTGAATCTCCGTGCATGCAGATCAGAAAAGCTGAAACAAAGCAATCATTTTCCTTATTATCGGGATTCACAATGGCATTCTTATTTTTCAGATGGCTGGGAATGATGCACGAACATCCACCCTTTAATATTTCAAACTGAGCTGTTCGTATGTCACAGCCTTTCACTTCATCTAATATCCAACCACTGCCATTTCGTTCGAAGATTTCCACATTATTATCGATTTCATTAACCATGTCACAAAAGATTCTATTAATGTAGAGGGGACTGAGGATAATTTTAAGAGAAGAATTAAAATATTGTTCTGTTGTTTCCATGAATTCTACCTCTTCTTCATCCACGCTTGGATGCATACGTTTAAATTTACACAAAAGCGTTATTTGAAACTTAATGCTATTATAAATTGAAACATTGTGAAATAGAATCTGATTAATTTTAAACTTAAATCTATTAAAAAAATCCCTAACAGAAATAATATTATTATCCTCATGTGTATTTCTAAATTTGTAAGTTTTCATAAAGCCTTGAAAGGCTTCAATTTCAGAGAAAGGGAAAGCATTCAGTCGTAGCCCTCTTCCTCTTTGATCAAATTTCATGGATTTTATAACTCCTCTTTTATGAGCTTCATTGTGCTCTATAAGATCAAAAATGTTGGCTGAGAAGTCACAATATTCACATCTATGATGAGTATTCATATGTACTTCTAACAATTTAGACGACCTGAATGACATGGTACAATATCGACACAATTTTCTCTTGTTTTCATCTCGGTGCCTTAGTAAATGTGACGCAAAATGCTGACGATTTAAGAATCTCTTAAAACATTTCAAGCATTGGAATGTTGTCTTCTTAATACGAGGAGCCTGCCAAAATAAAACAACAATCTCAGTAACTATCAACAGTTTATACACATTCTTGTCTAAGTGATCTCACCATTTTCTTTGTGATGTAAATCTCTCAACTATTATTAGGTTGCTCCGAATGAAGTACTCATACACTAAGCACGGAGAAAAAAAAACAAATTTTGAGAATTAATTGTATAAATTTAAACTTGGAAATTTAAAAATAATAAATAAAAATTAACTTACCAAAATTTCCAAAATCAAAGTCAAGAAGTGTGTATTCTAAAAAATGCTTGTGAGAAAATATGTATGACAACATCTTTTTTTATATCTCGGCGTGACGTCATTATCTTAATACCAGGAATGTGTTTACATATAATAAAACATACCATCACTTCAACTCCAATACTGTAAAAAATATTAATTACCACTTACCACTATTAACCGTATTTTGTAAATAATTGAATTAGTAACCCCTAGGGAGTTATTACATTTTTACGGTATGTACTTATTTTGGAATTTTTTTTGTAAATTACTAAGACTATAAAAACAATTGGCAAAATAATGAGCAAGTTAGTCAATGTTTCAACATTACGTGCAAAGGATTTCCAAAGAAGAAATAAAAACTTTAAAAACTCCAAAATGTCTCAGGGTAAGTTTTCCTAAAACACAAATAAATTAATTTTAAGAAACTAAACAAGCTTTAGGAAAATTTTCAAATGTTGATAAAATATAAACTTGAAATCTTAAATAAATTCCAATATTTACGTAAATTTTAGCAGGGATAAACGCAGTGGCAAGAGCACGAAAAATCTTAGAGGAGGCTAAGCCAGGAAGTCGAGAGTCTGAGGACGCACGAGCTTTTCTTCTTTCTCACCGTCGACAACATATGAAGCATATGTGCCTTCATCATCTTACAAAGGTCCTATTTCGCTTAATTTTGCTCCCGAAGGGGAAAGAAGTGACGATCCTAGTGGACAAAATATTGTCCATTGGGAGGGCCAGCTAGGTCAGGGGTTTTGGCTAAAAAAAAATGGGCAGGCTTATGTCTGCATCAGAAAGAATCAAACCACAGGGGCAAACCTGTCGTTTAAATATTTTCAATCGTTGGTTGCAGCTTACCCTGCAAACAAAGATTGACACAGACCCTGATTATACTACCTGGATCCCATAAATCCTTTCAAAATTAAACTGAATTCTATTTTTTCTTTACCTCTCTTAAGCTGAACAAGTTGGTTGGTCAGAGGAAGTAGATTCTAATCAGGGCGTCTATAAAAATTCGGAAGATCTTATAATTATTTCAAATAACGATTATATAATGGGACATACACAGTTTTTTCACTTCTTGCCTATAACACTCCAAAGAAAATTAAAATTTGTTAAATCATGTAACGTAGCTATGACTTCGATTTTCCAAGCCAAAGAAAGCTTTCTTTTACCTGACAATTTTTGGTATCCCGTTTTGATGGTATCTCCTCATTATATGGATTGAATGTAGTAGTTGATTTCCTACATATTTCAAATATATAAAAATAAGTCGATAATTATAATAGTTTGACTAACAATTGAAGTTTAAATAAAAAATGTATAAATATTAACCTTCTAGACGACTATAGAACGGTCCACTTTATTAGGAAGACCTTTGAAAGTAAATTTCCAACAAAGTTGCACCCTCAATCTGCTGGTTATGATTTGTACTGTCAATCCGGAGCGTTACTTAAAGCAGGGGAAATGATATTGATGGATATTGGGATTCAAGTTAAATTACCGTTGGGCCATGTTGGTTTGATTAAACCAAGGTCTGGGTTAGCGTTGCGGCATAAAATTGACGTCATGGGGGGCGTGGTCGATGAAGATTTTGAAGGAACTTTGGGGGTTATGCTAATCAACCATGGGAAACTTCCATATCAAGTTGAACTTGGGGATCGTGTTGCTCAGTTCTTGATTATAAAACTCCATAATGGACCGTTGAAGAAGTCTACGTTTGATGAAGTTATTACCACCACAGCACCTGTTGCTTCTCGGCGTGGAGCCAAAGGATATGGCTCCTCTGGAAAATAAAAACGAGCAATTTTTACTATATTCAATATAAACTAAGTAAAATTTACTTAAACTTAAATATCTTCGCAGCTAATGTTAAAATTTCACCATCCTTCCTGCACGACCCTTGATTCAATAAATAAAACACACGCACAAACTTAATCCAAATATTTAATCTAATAACTGAAATAAATGTCCTCAAAAATGTTAATATTTGTTACATAAAATGTCTCCTATATTGAACTGTACCTGAAGAACATGCTTGCATTAGTTGGTGGGCGAGCTCACCAGCTTGTTGGAGCTACTAGTGGAAGAAACTTTTCTCTCTTGGTCGAGTTACTTTTACTTTCCGCTGTAAGACACAATGTTGCAGTAAGACGGAATATGTAACTTGAAAAGAAAGAAAAAATAATAATGAAAATCATAACTAAAATCTAAAATAATTAATGAACTAAGCATACCAAGCTTAATTTTGCAAATATTTTGCAATGAAACATGCGTATTTTCATATGTACATATATTTCATGTAACCTACACACTTACCAGAAAATAAAACCTTCATTTATCATCCTATCTTTGGTGCTGTTGTTACAATTTATTGATATCAATCTCCATCCTGTATGACCCTTCATCACACAAACACACACACACACACACACACACACACACTTTTGCAAGTATTTATTGCAATATTAAGATTGAAAATATTAATATTGAAAATAATCTCCTCTCAAATGTGAATATTTGCTTTGCAAATTGCACGTTGCATTTAAGTTGATATTAGTAGTAGTGAATAACGTGCATGGCTTACATTAGTTAATGAGCAAGCTCCTTGTAGCAGCAGCTGCTCGGAGAGAAAACTTTTTCTCCTGGTGGAGCTTTTATTTCACTGGTCTCCCATCCGCACGCTAGGGTGCGGAAGCACCTCGCTAGTAGAAGAAACTGCTAGTAGAAGAAACTTTTTTTCATTTTAATATTTTGTAAACTTTCTCTCTTTCACTTTCTCTCTTTCACTGGTCGCACTTCCGCTCCAGCGGAGCGGAAGTGCGACCATAAGCTCATCAAATATATTTAAAGTAGTAAAAACTACTTAAAATCGTAAATGTCGGAAAAGTGCATGCCATGTTTGATGCTTGTCCAAGACGCTGATCGACGTGAGCTTAGTATCCTACGTCTTTAGTTAGGGACCAGAGAAAAGTAGATACGTCTCCCTAAAGACGACCTAGAAGGCTTAAATCCATAAGAATGCATAAGCCATAGACTGACCAATACGACCCCAGAGATCCGTTTTCGACCCCCCCCCCCCCCAACTTTTTCACCGTAATAAATCTGTAATAAATCTGTTATCTCCGATATTCAATTTTCTTACCAGCCTGGAAAGGTTGGTTATTTGTTACCTCCTTCAAACCCGCATGGCAATAATTACTCCTACCCGGCAACAAGATTATTGTCCTGACCGTTGAGCCGTATTTAGTTACCTTCTGGTAGTGCATATCGCATGATTATCTACTCTTTTATATTCATACATCAATATTTAGATTAGTTTATTATTTAGAGCAAAACAGATTCGCTGCATGGCTTGTCCAGCCCACATTTGAGTTTACAAGGTTGACCTTTCTTAACTTGACGTTTTACTTTGTCTCTAATATAATTAAATAATCCTTCGTTTCTTCTATGTATCTATTTTTGGCCAAATAAAAACCATACGTATACCACCGCTAATTTCCTGCACGCTAAATTATCGATTTGTCGATTATCGACAAAGTCATATCCACGTAGATCAGGTACGATATTTTTCAAACTGTTTTCGTCACAACGTCTGCTTTCTCAATAGAAACACATTCACACACTTTTTAGCATTCTAAGAACCTTAATTTTTCACTAGTCTGAAATGATGGTGCCCAAATCTTCCCAGATTATCTCCTTTCTGAAAACAAAACCCTGGAGACTTTTCCGTTCATGGGAATATTGGTTGTCAAGACTCTACCAAACTGCGGGGACCTTCTGTTTGCTTCCCATTTATTGGGAGAGGTCCACTAACACTGTTCAATATGAGAAAAGGTGGCTCAAAATCGTTACCTGGGCGGTATTAACGCTCTATCTCACGCTGGACTCGACCTACCAGTTTTACGTAATGTGTACAGCCCCCTACAAGGCGATGAGTATTTTCGACATTCTAAAGATTTTACTCCATGGATCTCGTCGGATTGGGGCGTCCGCTTTAATTATAGGATTTTCCAGCAATATGAAAAATACTGTCAAGTTGCTCAATCAAACAATTGACATTCATCACAAACTTAAACGTATGGATGGTTACTTACAATGGAGGTCTCCCTACGTATGCTCACAGATTTTGACCAAACTAGCGCCAATCGGTCACAAACATAATTGGTATGCAATTTGCAAATGGCACTATCTGCCAATGCGCAGGTTTGGCCGAGATATTTGCATCCAAAGTGGGAAAAATGCGCAGCAAAGTTGGAAAATGAAAAATTTTCCAGCCTGGGGGTGCGTTTTCTTCTCTTTTTTATGCAAATATCTCCGCTAAACTTGAGTACTAACAGATAGTGCCATTCGCAAATTTCATACTAATTATATTTATGATCGATTGACGTTAGTTTGGTCTAAATCCGTGCGCATACGTTGGGATACCTCCATTTGTTAGTTATTAATTACACGGTAAATAATTTTGCGGTCATGTATGTACATAGTTTGATCGGTAGTTTGATGGATGTATTTAGGTAACTACTACGGGGATGAAAACGCTCTCATTGACGATGGACTACTTTACGTAAACTTTGGCACGATTGTCCTCCACTTTCAGCCACTTGGACCGACCCTGCAACATTTACAGGAAAGAGGAAGCTTTCGTTATTGGGGGGCTCGCTATCTCCCACCATCATTTTATAATTCTGCATTTGGTACTGTTTTTACAGTTAAAATAAAGTAGCTGAAGTTACTTAATAATTCAGAAACAAGCTAAATATATTTTAAAATACAGGTATCGCCATTTTTGGCACCATGGAACTAATCCTTTGCTACGTCTCAATTTTTGGAACTGGATACGCCGCGACGCAGGTTATCGTTTATGCACAAACGACACGACATTGGCTGAACATTTTGGAGTAAGTTGAAGAAATTAAATTAAGTAAATTGGACATTAAGTAATAATTTGTACGACAATATTCTTTATAATCCTTGGTAACAATTTGACTCCGGTTAGTTCATTTAGTCAAATTGTAAAAATTTGGTTACCTGATTCTGGTTACTGGCTATCTGATCGGAATGCAAATTAAGCTGTACCAAAAGTTTTGCTTTATAATCGAAATTTATTTAGAAAAGATTCCCAAAAACCGCTCGCCAAAGCATGGCTGACCCTCAAAAATTTAAAGCTCTACCGAACTCTTGCAGTTTTAAACTGTATCCACAACGAGGCGTGCTCACCTGTTTTATGGCCAAGTACGACAATACTTTTATAACAATTTAATACTTATTAGTTAGTAAGTATAACTCGATCAAATCCTTACACAAAATATGGGTGCCATATTTGTAACCGACGGGTTATAACTTTGCTTTATTACGAATCTGTAGAAAAATTATAACCATTCAGTAACAAATATCCTAACCAGCAACCGTTTTAAACCTTCTCGATTACATGGCAAAATTCTTATATTTTGTTTTTGGATTTGATTCAAATATGTATATTTGACGACCGATACGTTCCAATATTTCCAGTGTCACAACATGTCCTCTGCTCTGTGCATGTTATTTGTAACGTCCTCCTCATCAAGTGTTTTCGCCTTCTCCCGCTTCTGATTGGTGCCACCCTCTTCTTTGCCACCGTAACGATTACCCTTTTCGAGAAAAATTGTCTCAAAGCGGCCGCCGATGTTTATGAAATTTCCAAACGATTTCGTGACCGAATGAGGCGGGACGATTCGAAGAGAAATAGAATTGTTGGGAGATCCTTGAGGGGTTTGAGGATTAAGGTGCAGGATGCTTACTATTTTAAAATATCTACTTTCATCACGTTCATGCAGTCCGTGGTGGAAAATACGATTAATGTTATGCTAACTTTCTTCTAATGGTAAGTGTTGTGGAACCAATTACAATATCACATCGATATATGTTTATTTTTTATAAATTAGAAATAATTTTTATTTGTAAAGCGTATGGCGGACATTACATAACTTATAAATCAAACCATAATCATAGCTCCTGGAACTTCGCAAGATTTTGGTATCTGGGCACTGTACCCGTTTTAATTTATGACGAGCAGGGTTTAACGTTACCCGTCTTCTGAGCATTTTCCAGAAGCCAGTGGAGAAAATGTGTAGGTAATGGCGAAAATGGCACCAGGAGGTAAACTGATATGACATGTGGTGATAAAGTGAAAAATAAACCTTCCCATTTTACGGTCAATTAATTAATTTGTATTTTAATTTAAAGGATTACCTTATCAAAATATTTTGAATCCAAGTTAATTTAGAAAGTTGATCTTTCGGAAAATTTGAGTCGTCGATTGTAACCAAATTCCCCATTCTTGCCATTCACAACTCGCAAGTCACTATTCTCAATTAAAATAGTAACGATATGTATTTTCATGATCGATGGTCAAATTATTTTACAGTATTACACAATTTAATTCTTTAATAACCTTAACGACGTGTACTTTCATACAATCCGTTACAATTCGAACTCAATTATGCAAAATGCAACATTTCTAGTAGTAATGTTGTACTGTACAGATTTATCCCTACTTTTTCCAATTCAGTACTGTAACGCCACCCTATCCTCAATGTGTAAATACGTATCCCTGGTCCGGGTGTATATCTATCGGTTCTCCACTTTCTTTAAGCTAAATTTTGTAATACAGATAATTTACGAAGCTAACGACTTTTGTGATTTTAACCTGCCAAATGCCTTATTATTACTCTTATTACTATACTGAAAGTTATGTCTTACAAAATTATTGAAGTTAACATACTATAACTTAAACAAACTTTTTACTATTTTAAGTA